AGTCCTAGTTAAAAAAATATTCATGGTCAATTGTCAGTTGATGCCAGCTTCACTTGTGCACACTGCACATTGACATGTCACATGGAGGCCATAAGATCCCCAGAACTCATGATGATTTTGGTTTGACTTTGCAGACCAGTCTTCTGATGTTCACGTTCAGTCCATGTATAGTATACCCACCTGGAAGAAAGGAAAAGGAATCCATGTCAGGACAGGATGAGGATGAATGATGAGTGGTTCACACCCAAATGTGGGGATGGCAAACTAGCATAGTTGATGTTAGTTTCAATTAACTGTTGTGCCTACTTGTCCTGAGAATTGACTTCTGAGTGAAAAATTGGGAGTGGAAAATTATCCTAAAAAAATGGAAGTGAGAGTGGAAAATTATTTTCATTTGGATGTCGCTTTCCACCCAAATCGACAAATTTTGGGACACTGATATATAGAAGGTGCAGTCACTCCCCCGCCGACCAATCAGAGACAGATCCTGAGTGACGTCATCCCTGATGCTCGCAAGGGGTACTCCATTCCCTCCATTCCTTAACCCGCGCACCGACGGGGGTCTGCGCCAACTTCGCACCGACGGGGGGGGGCGGATGACCGCCCCCCCCCTGAGATCTCGAGAACGAAGCAAGATAGCGACCAGCGGTAAACGGCATCGGATACGCACGGACAAGGTCTACAATTGTTACAAAGGTCATTTTCAGGTCAGGTCAAAGATAACGTCACAGGGGTCGAAAGTCAAAATGGCGGCGCTAGATATGGAGAGTTTTTCTCGAATAACTTTCGAATTAGTCAAGATAGGAACAAACTAAGGGTATCATCGTGATCCTCTCGCCAATCCGCATCGAATGATATATACGTTGACCTCGAAAAGTCAAGGTCAAAGGTTGACCTCAGGTCACGTGACCTCGAGGTCATCATGTATATCATTCGATGCGTCTTGACGAGCTGAACACAATGAGACCATCCGCGCGGCTGTATCTTGTTCCTGTACGGAGTTATTGGCAAAAAACCGCTGGTGACCTTTGATGACGTCACATGACCTTACAGCTGCCCAACAGCAAAACAGACCTCAAGGTAGTGAAGGTTGATCGTATATGATGAAGTCATGTATGGTATATGGGGCCATTCCGACCCGTTTTAGTGGTAAAAATAGGGAGTTGATTTTTCCCCCATTGACTTATAATGGGGAGGTCGCGAAATTGACCTGACCTTAGGTCACCGACATGAAAATTCCGAGATATACAAATTGTAGTTACTAATGACCTTATAACATCCTGCGACTTTCAAAGGCCTCCGACATCTACTGTAGCTCTGGCACGGTGACAAAGTTGCAAAAAAGTGACTTGAGGTTGGGTCATTCAAAGTGACCTGGTGACCTGACCTTAAAAGTTAGGAGGTTCAAACTTACACACCATGTGTAAAATTGATGAGAGAATAGTCGTACCAAATTTCGCAGCGCTACGCGCCGCGGTTTTCCCGCTATCCGCGAAAAACCTCAGGGGGGGGGGCGGATATCCGCCCCCCGTCGGTGCGCGGGTTAACAACGTAAAAATGACAAACTTCATTTGAATATTATTGATAGTACTTTTCACATATTGCTCAACCGTTGATATCACTCGAAAGCCCAACTAATTTTCTAGCGACAAAAAGAGCAGCAATCTGCTAAGAAATGGCCGGTTTTGAAGATATAGGCGATTTAAAAACCCTCTGCAGTAGCAGAAAAGCAACGTAAAAACGCATAGAGCTTATATTTTTACTATAAATAAATCAATTTTCAGTATGTTTTTAGATAACGTATTGATATGATTAACATGTTTATTACATTTTTTTTGTAACTTTATTACAAAATAATATTTTCAAAAATGGCAGCTGTTGGCAAGAAGCTTGGAAGCGATTGTGGCGCACCACGCCATTATTGTCTTGAGGCCCCCTTATGATGTCATCAAAAGTGGAGTGACATGGGCCTGGTTAAAGTGACCATCCCACCTTAAAGGTAGAGTGCCAGCTTTCTTGGACCATATGGAGTTAATGACCCGGATAAGGAGAACCGGATTTTTAGAACTTATCCATACCTTCAAAACTCATGGAAACGTCTTAAATTCTTCAAATTTTGAGTACCCCAGTGCGAAATTCGCCCCGACGGGTTGTCGGTCGTACCCCAACCACATTTCACACCACTATGAACAATAAATGCACACACTAAAATCGCTATTACCGATAGGCTCATCCAATCAAGTTTCGATAAACCCGTTCATCATCATCTCCTGCGGTTTCGAACACGCCTGTTAGGTGGCTTCTGATGCTTGTCGAGGTCGGAATTTCCAAATACGCGTGGTGTGTCGGGCCGCGCGCTCTGACTTCGGCCAAGAAAAATGCGTCAGCTGATCATTGTCATTTCTGCCACTTGCGTGTGGTGAAATGGGGTCATAACTTTAGAGACGGCTGTTTCATATCAATTATTTTACATAAAATCATATTTCAAACCATAAATTTCGACATTGTGTTGTCTACAGTCTACGATTAGACAGCTGATAACTCATTCCCGTACGTCGTAACTCTATAATGACATTTGCTTATTGTCACATGTGCGCCGCATTCGCGATTGTTGCCGACGCCTGTTTGCAGGTCAGCCCACTACAGTTGTTATACATATCGAAAAACCGATAAACTTTTAGGCAAAAAGGCACTATTCCAGGCCCATTTTTGATTTTTTTTTTTGCGATATTAGGTAAAAACAGAAGCTTCCTATCCTAGGAAAAATAAAATGGGAAATCATTGGAAGGTGGCACACTACCTTTAATATTAGTTTTGAGTTCAGATAGCCAAATTGGTGGCCATGGCCTGCAAATACCGGTTTGGGCACTCACAACATCGAAAAATGCTTTAAAGGGACTACCTATCCCACCTTTAACATGGGGTTTGAGTTGAGATAGCCAAGTTTGCGGCGAGGTTCAGAAACCACTATCTATCTAGGACTAGGTTGCAACCCCCGCGGCCTCTTGGTGTTGAAGAAATTCGTTCCCTTCATTTGAAAATGGGCCTTGCGCAAGGCCCTATCTTCAACATGGAGCGACCGTTAGTGTGACGTCACCTCGTTTAGTCATTCTGATTTAAATGGGTTTGTTCGTTGAAAAATCGCTTAAAACTTGGTCTGAACTTTGTTGTGGTGCCTACAGAGTAAAAAGAATCAGCTTAATGACAGTAATGTGGCCTGGGGAAGGAGGTAATTTTGGGCTGTGACGTCACATATTTGAAAGTTTGTGTTTGGAATATGGGAAGCCTAAGATGTTTAATGAAAAATAACTGCCAGAACCGTGTTCCTGGTCATCCAATCTATAAAGTCGGGCACAATTTAACTGGTTTTAACAACATTTTAGAAGGTGGGATAGTTCCTTTAATCCAGAATTGGAGGATCAAAAGCATGCGATAGCATGCTTTTGCATCCGGAAATTCCCATTGGTGGGTCGCTGAAAAAAAGTTCGGCTGAACCTGTTTGTCAGTGAGTGAGTGAGTATGTGAGTTTGTCCAAGCTTTTTTGGACCTGGAGTCAAAATGGGTGGACCGATCGGGACGAAAGTGGGACCGTTTGATTCGTCTCCGGCGAGGTAAACTTTTGGTGCTGGGCGCTGGCCTCGGTTCGCTCGGTGCTTCGTGGCACATGCTATTCCGCTTCAAAGTTTCGGTGACACGAAATTTTTTGTCAAGGCTACAGGTCAACCCGAGGTCACGGGCAAAGCCATACTGGCGGGACACATCGGTAACACCTTGAACCAGTTTCCAGGGGGGTCACCGTCTGCGAGGGGTGCAGGCTGCACGTGCTGGGGTCGGAAAACCGTTTTGACGTGAGGTCCTCTGGCTCAAAGAAATTTTAAGCTATCAACCTCAAAATCGGTTCAATGGTAGTCCCAGGCAAGGCCTCCAAAATAATGCACATTTCATTGGGCTATGGATCCTCCAATTCTGGCCCAAGGCAACGCACGAGCGCTGCCGGCATCTAGTTCGGAGATATGGAATTTCAAACTTGCAGTTTTCGGATTCTAAGGGGCTAATGCATTGGGATGCCCCCTTAGAATTTGTAACGTCAGCGGTGATCTAACGATTTTAAAACCTTATACTAACATCTTTGTGAAGCAGTGGTGGTATATGCTATTTTGCGCGCAACATCTGCCGCCTACGTCGCACTTCCAAAATGAAGTCGCTAGAAACAGCGGAGATCCCAAAAAAGTAAACAAGTAAAAGTCTAATATCTTGAAAACCGGTGAAAATTTTTCGGTGAAATTTGGTAGATATTCGCTTTTGCTCTTTCTGAACCGAGCGACATCCATAGGCGTAGGAACGTTTTCAAGAGTGGGGGGGCCAGATACGTCATGGGACCCAAAACTAAAAATATGCGTATTTGACCCACTATTTTGGAGGCCGGATTTCGCGTGTAACACGGGCAAATGACTGGATTTGAACAACAGCGGTTGCCAGGTGGTCCCTTTGGCCTTTATAAACTATCGTAAAAACATTGAGTCATTTTACTATAGCCTATGATAAAGCACTGATGTCCCCGCGGCTGCACTAAATGTTACGGAGTTTTACAGCGTCAGCCGCGCCCAACAACTGCGTACCACATACAGACCATCCGGTGACTATGCACTGGATCTTGATCCGGTCGATAAGAAGGAAAATACATGGAGTACGAATCTCAACCAGAGTTTATTTAACAGAACTTGAAGTTTAAGCGAGGTTGGCGCAACTCTGCGAACGCACTTCAGGTACCACACATCTTTGACTGGGGCGGTAACAGAACTGGAAGTTGATCACCACTACTCACTTCACAAGGATGATCAGCGAGGTGCTGACGCTGCCACAACTCTACGGTCGTCGGTCTGTGCGATGTGGCAGCCCCCATCACATGTCTGTTAACTCTCAGGCGGTGAGCTGTCACCAAAGATGATCTGCCTCAGCCTAACCTTACGTTCTACTAGTCTTGGTCTGTGCCCTGTGCCTTAGCGTCCGAAGAACGACCGGCGCCGATCGTTTGCACCAAAGAACTCAGTTGCGATCAAGTCGACGTTCAGTTCATCCACGCGCTGCCTGTGTGTCGCGCACAGCATGGCGGCATTCAGCCGGCCTTGCCCCATGGTAGAACGGATGTAACTCTTTATACGTCTGAGTGACGAAAAGCAGCGCTCTGCCGTAGCCGTAGTGACGGGGACGGTGAGGTAGAGTTTAGCCAGTGTGAGCACCTCACTCATCATTCTCTGGAACACAGCACCGCCGGTCTGTTTCGAATCCACTAGCGCCTGTAGTACCTCATGCACCGAGTTTCTGCCGCCCCCGACCACATCTGGAAGCATCTTCAGCTGCACTTCCAGCCGTGCCAGGTCCAGATCGTCGCCATAGAGCTCTCTGACGACGGCGGGAACGGAGACGTCTCTCCCCGCACTCGCATCTTCCAACACGCGCTCCACCTCACGAGCCTTTTCGAAGGTCGGCTGAGTGAACCTCTCCTTAAGCTGGTTTGTCAGCAGGTCAAGAACTTCAAAGAACTGTCGGCGGTACATCTCCTTTGCCGTTGCGTCTGGATGCTGATCACCACCGCCCAGTTTCATGGGAACCTTGCGCTTGCGAGGAAGCTGAGGCCCGTCGACACCCACCTCTTCTGCATCTCGTTCGGTCTTCTTGTACGTCTTGTCGAACGACACCGTTGTCCGCATGCTGTCAAATCGCTCACACACACGTGTCACTGCCTTCTGTGTGTCTCCCACCGTCGCTGTCGCCGACTGCAGGCCACGCGAGAGGTCTTCTGCGATGGAAAACACCTCGATGGCCATGCGTAGGCCCATCAGTGTGTCGAACTGACCCATGAGGGCCAGCATTCCTCCCGCCCTTCGAGCGTGCTCTCCGCTCGACTCGGTGCTCACCTCTTCCAGAGTGTGCATGATGAACTCGTAGTTTTCCAGTACGCTTCTCAGCGATGCAGTACGACACGTCCAGCGGGTGGGGCACAGTGGACGCAGAGAGCCAGTCCCTGACTCTGTCCCCAGTGCCAGGCGCCGGAGCAACGCAGCCGTCTTCGGAGAGTTTCGGACGAAGGATGTGAGCTCGTTCGTGATGTCAAGTGCATTTCGAATCATCTTGTTTTTCCTGGCAGCCTCTTGCAACACCAAGTTTGTGCAGTGAGCGAGACAATGCACATGCAGGGCAGCTGGGCACTCTTAGCTGATCCTTGTCGCCACTCCTTTCAACTTGCCCTGCATATTCGCTGCGCCGTCGTACGCCTGCCCACGGCACTGACTCAGTGGCAGCTCCATACGCACCAGTGCATCTTTCAAAATGGCCGTGAGCACTTCGCCAGTTGTCTCCTCAGTGTGAATCAGTTCGACCGGGTCTTCGTGAACTTGTAGATCAGCGTCTACCCAGCGAATAGATAGGCTGACTTGCTCTTTCAACGACACATCGGTTGTTTCATCCGCCAAAATGGCAAAGAACCGGACTTCCCGGATATCCTTCAGCAGATCACGCAACAGAGTCGTGCCGATAGCGCGAATCAGCTCATTCTGGATGGTCGGAGAGAGATACTCTTTCCAGTGCTGAAGCTCTGGCACATCCTTCTTTCTGAGGCTGAGCAGCTGACACAGATTGCCGTCTGCTTCATCTTTTCCCCTGATCGAAATGTTCTGTCGCATTAGGTACAGCAGGGTTTCGATAACCTTCTTCAAGCAGGTTCTTCGCTTAGCCTGTTCCATGCTTGCCTGCTGCGACAGTAGCGCAGAGATGCTCTCCTGTTTTTCCTTCAGTTCTTTCATGCATGCTTCTTGGTGACACATCGACTTTTCGTGTTTGGCGAAGCTCATCTGTGCCTTCTTCCATCTGTTGAACCCATCATTCACGAACGCAGGCTCCTTCCATTTACTCATCGTGAGCTTCCCCACCTTGTCCTGCCTGCGACACACATGACAGAAGACCTTCCCGGATTCCGAACAGAGACTCAGCCAGCCATACTGCGCATACCAGTCGGTGCAAAATGCCCTCTTGCGATCTCCCTGAGCACGCGCTGTTTTTGCAAGAGTAGCGGTATCGGTTGGCTGGTGAGGATGGGCCGAGGAGCAGCATGCCGAAGCACAGGATGTAGCTGGAAATAAAGGATGAAGCAATTAGGAGAGAATATGTGGATGATGCCTGGTGGCGCGAGGCAATAGGCTATCTGGGTCCGGTTTTTATTTGTGCCCCAAATTATGTTTAAACGGTTTGAGTTGACAATGTTACAGTCTTTTTAAAATCACCATCACATCATCACATATTCATATTGTTTGTTGCCCTTCGCAGTGGGGCAGGATGGGAATATGACCCTGTTTAAAAGAAAGTTTTTGGTTGTTACCTAGCAGTCCTGTGGAGTCGGAGTCAGTAGTTTTGGCCGGAGTTGTTAGGAACAGCATGTGCAGGCCCGTAACATCATCAGCATGGCGCCACGGATAGTAGGTTGGCAGGCGGTGCGCGTGTCAGAAATGTGACCTGCTTCTCTGTTTTTAGGAACTTTGAAGTTTTGTTCTGTGGACCTTTCACTATTACAAACGGCAATTTTTAGTCTGCTGCTGCATACTTTCACAACAAAAGCTTCCAAAACACACGCAGTACGCAGCAATCAACCAACTGCTGATGCCTGGTATGTGATTGAACGCTCCTTTGTGTCACCAAAAAATCACAAAAGTTCGTTTTAAATGAGTTGGCTCCAAAATTCACAAAATTTTGCTCTGTCATACGGCCTTGGATCTGTCAGACAGAGAAAATTTGTTCTTTTAACTTGGGTCGCAAAACCACTTTGCTCACACTGTGCGCCTATCGCATAGCGGGCTCCAGCTGCATTAGTAACATGTATAGGTATGTGGTGTGTGGTGTCGCCTCGGTCGCCTGGGATTGGTGCGCTCGGAGGCTGATTTGAGCCAGAGTTGAGTCAACTAGATACTGCGCGAGTCTAAGTTTAGTCACTTGTTTTGCTGAAACGTTAAGATTTCCCCTTTCTTTGTTGCGTTACATGGGAACAGCTACATTCGACCACACCCCTCCTCCCGTCAACAGCTTTTGGCCGTACCTATTAGGTGAAGTTTGATAAGTCATGAGACAGAATTCACTAACTCTTGCTCATCCTGACTGAAATGAGTTGAGCCAGAGACCATGAATTGAGTCAGGTTAGAAAATATGGGATTTACGTTAAGTCAGAGCCGAGTCAATCGATAAAATCGAAGTGGTGGGTTGAGTCAGAGTTGAGACCCATGTAGTGCTTCGGAGTCGACCAAATTTCGGCGACTCCAACTCCGACTCCGACTCCGGATTGAAAAAAAATCGACTCCGACTCCAGCTCCGACTTCGGTCGGTGAAAAATTGTTGACTCCGACGCCGGCCAAAACTTCCGACTCCGACTCCGTAGCATTGGTCCCATGCATTATTTATAGCATAGGTCAGAGTTGAGTCAGCCCGTAAAATCTGCGTCAAGCACAACCCTGGTCAATAAATGTATAATCTCGATTATCGCTTGATGCTGACACCAACAGGGGCTTCCACCAGGCGAAGACCAGCCTCCGAGTGTTGGCGGAGCACCAATCCCGGGCGATCGAAGCGACACCACACACCACATATACATGTTACTAATGCAGCTAGAGCCCGCTAAGTGGTGCATCGCCTGCCAGCCTACCCGCGGCGGCTGGCAGGCGCCGCGGGCGCCTGCCTGCAATAGCCCAACAAATTTGGGCTATTGGTCATTACCTATATATTATGGATGTAGGTGTGAAGCTAACATCCCCATTTTGTCCCGCCTTCCCCTACTGAGGGAGAATAATAAACACCTAATACCTAAAAGGTAGGTACCTACCTATTTGTAATTGAATGATGTAGGACATCCTAATGTAGGTATACCAGAAATCTGGATATCAAAGCTAGATAAAAATTACGACTTACAAGACAACAAAAACGTAATGACTCACTAATCTGACATCTTGAATTTAGAAAATTTTCATGAAAGCTTATCTTGTAATTTGTAAATACCTACATGTGCAATTATCGACAAGCATTCAAATATGTTCATGTTCCTGTTAGTTCCTTTTCCTGGAGTGTGTGGAGGAAAATAATACAAATACAGCAATTCAATTTTCACAATTTACCAAACATGAACATGTCTAATTCAGGGGAATATATCTCCTGTGACTTGTCAATAACTATCACTTAGGTATATCACTATCACTGTGAATGGTCAGTCAGAAGGTATTGCTACAAACAAATATCAATAATAGGTACATCAAATTGTTAAGTGCTACAATTTTTTTTTTATAAATTTAGTCCGAATGTTTGATTGGGTGACTTCAGGGATCAGAGCCCGCACTAAACATAGCTTGTTGTGCCTGACGACCGCCCACACCGGGGCTTGAACCGGGCTCTCACCACCGGTTTCAGCGTCGAACTCCGGCGCTTTAGACCACTCGGCCACGAGGGGGACAAAGTAAGAAAAAAGTAGGTAGATAGTAATTATAGAGTAACAAAAAAGTTCCATTCCTACCTACACTTGCAGATGTTGAGGAGCTTCCATAGTCAGAAAGACTGGCAGAAGAGGTGGATGGAGACACAGGTGTGGGCTCCTCCACAGGAGCAGATGACAATGTAGGCACAGGAGCTGGTGAAGCAGACCGAGGTGTGGTAGTGGATGTGGCTCCTTGATCCGGAGAGGACTGTGGAATGTGAATTGGAGCATGTGATAAATGAATGGGATTTGGACTTGAAGCTAGAAGCTGAAAGTAGCAGAAACAGTTTGAGTAGGCATTTTAATTGCTATCAGCTACAAAACAATAGGCAATGTTGACATTGCACCTATGCAACATTAACAAAATTGATTAAGGAAATGCAAGACAAAGACTAAGCAGGCAATTCAACCCAGGTGAGCTTGACCAAACAATAATTAATAGTAATTAATAGGTAGGTATTTAAGAAACATTAGCCATTCTCCATCCCTGAGGTAGGTACCTATCTACCTATTACCTAAGTACCTACATACCTACTTGGAAAACCATCCAAATCCCTTATAATATATCACAATATACAAATAATTGGAAGGAACGAAAGTGAATATGTAGAGTAGACCATTGGCAGGTATTGATGAAGAACACAACAACACAGATTAGATAAAGTGGTGTTTATGCCATCCCCTTCAGAAAATTTATGGGTGCATCACTGCTAAGAAATTTGTTGGGAGTGGCTACCTACCTCATCCTACATCCACATGACCTATGTACATCCACAAATAACGTCCGTGAGCCCATAGGTACCTACTGAGACTAAATACCCAAGGACCAGGGATGGAGAATTAAAGAGTTTGAGAAATTCATGGTGTGCAAACACACTCTTATTTCCAAAGGTACCCATGAACAAAAGGCAACCTTTCATTTGTAGCTAATTTTGAATGAAATTGGGGAAATTGTAGGTAGGGTAGGTGCATAGGTCCGTCCAGAAAAGGCAACCCTGGGATTTACATAATTCTCCACCCCTGTCAAGGTCGCATTTATCATGCAATATGTATATTCATCAGATACACACCCACCTTTTTCGCAAAAAAAAAACTTCTTATATCCATCTCATTTCTAAATTCTACCTGACTCAAACCAGATCTTCATCTTAGGGCCTTGACCAGATCCACAAAACGAAACCGGTTGGCGCAATAAACATATCAGATATGTCTCTTCTGCGCTGAATTTGAAAATTTACGCGCTAAAGCGCTAAACTGCTGCATGTTTTAGACGGTGTTAATTCTACCTGCAAAGCACAGATTATCCGTGACAGAAACGGCACCGTGGCCCATCTTTTTGTGTTTAGTTGGTTGAATCGTGTTTAAAGTAAAGAGCGAATCTCAGACATTGGAGTGCTCTCAGTGGGGGCCACAGTGGGGGGGCCACACACATTACTGGCCCCCCCACTCCAAAATGGTGGGGTGGCCGTGGCCCCCTGGCCCCCCCGGTTCCTACGCCTATGGACATCACTTTCATGCCAATTCATTAACTTTTTTGAAGGTGGGAGGGTCCCTTTAAATGGCCTGTTTTCGGCGAACGATATCTCGGTCAATATTTGAAGAAATGAGTGGCTCTTAGTCTCAGAT